AATCTTGGTGCGCTGACCTGTCGCCAACATCTGCATGTCAACATTGCTCATCATTTCTGTAGAATTCGAGTTCTATTGGATTTTCGATACTCGGAGGTATCCTTCAAATTTTGTCGGTTGCGCGGATGTTTGTGCTGGGACCACGCCTCATCCTGAGCGTTCGAGAATACCACGCCAAAACCGTGGCATACTCGGACGCAGAAACTAGCATGAATTCGATTGTTTTCCAGGAGCATGTACATGTATCGACTAGTAGTACTGTGTAGGGACCGAGTTGTCTGCAGGGAGGCAAAATTTAGTGGAGGATCCATCGTGGTATTTATTTAACATATTGTGTTTCGAAGTATATTTAAAACGCTCAGGCAAACCTATTTATATATTGTGGTCTCACTACTGGAACGAAGCACCCGTGTCTGAACTAAGTGATAAGGGGAAATTATTCGGAACGACTAGCAACCAGACTAGTCTTTGGTGACCGATGTTAAAATACAACAATGAGGACCAGTGAAAGTACCCCGACATTTGTGCGTTTGTGGAGTTTCACTATCTGAGCATATAGATACTGCGAACCGTGAAGCCAGATGGCTGATGACTCATCGGTACTCATATGCGATTTCCTCCATCCGATGGACTACGGAGAATGAAATGAATGAATCGCTTAGACTCATGGTTCGATTACGTCTTTCTTGCGAATGAGGATGACAAGGATATGGGGGGTCTGCTGAGTGGGGAGTGGAGAATCAGAAAATCGGAGGTTCAGGTCAGAAGACCTCAAGCACACCTATCAAACTACTGAGGCATCGACTGCGATAGTATGTTGGAGGCCCTGCTAAACATGACCATCAAAGTAAAGCACTGAACGAGATACAGACATGCATCCGTACCCCCATTGACATGGATCACAGTCCTAGGGCAAGCAAATGATCACTTGAAAGACGTATCTGATAGAGTGTGAGAAACGGGGAAATTCGAAGATACTTCGTAGGAACGTTGACCGGTAGCGTGATGTCTCGCACGTGAGCTGTTGCAACGACCAATAAGGGTGGGTGCCGGTGACCGGTGACCGGTGATATATTTATATATCGCACGCAGGATGAGAATAAAGTTCCGGAGAGCGGCTATTCCTGCAGGTACTATCGATAGAGACGCGAAGTGCATCGATGGGGGGATTAGGATACGTGTTCGATTATGGACAACCGGCGTGATGGTTAAAGCCCCGCACCAAATAGAACCACAGAGAACCTAGAATAAATGCCGGGCTAGATAAGGCATGGATGGAGATACGAATCCTGGAAGACGCACATTAGGACGGCGACACGAACGACAGTGAAAGTATGTCATCGGGAATCGGATCGCCGATTTTGTTAGCATCCCAAGTTTTTCTTATTCATCTAGATTGAGGGAATTGATGAGTTAAAACCTTGTGAGAGCCTACATGTCTCCGGTTCAAGGCGTGCCTAGCTAGGAGGCCTTAGAGTGGCTGACCTCCTCACTGATGGCCGTTCTCCACGAGGTCTACCTTCGATAACACTTATGAGTCGAGCCCTTTCTGCTAAATGAATGTAGGATCGCGGATATGAGCGGAACGGACCTAAGAATTTTGAAGGTCAATTTTACATAATCAACCTATAAACTCACTTTGGCTTACACGGATAGTTCATCCAGGTTTTTCGTCGACCAATGGCTATGAGAGGTATCGAGCAACGAGTCCGACAATCTGAATGTTGAAGATACATTGATCGCAATCGCTCTGGAGTGCGTCCCACCTAGCGGCTTCCAGCATGCCGCCCAAACCGTGCAGGATCGCCGAGCCCTATCCTATCATCCATCTGGGGCGCAGAGAAGTAGTAACGAATTGTGCGTGAAGAGTGGATGTAGGGTGTAAGATATGCGAGTCATTGGATCATCTGATATCCAGATCAGTTAATGTTGCTACTGGCATGAACCTACGCATCGCTGAAATAGAGTCAACGATGATTGATTGTATCAAGCAAAAAACGATGACGACCTAAGAACTGACCGTTTAGTGAGTGAAGAAGTACTCAAGGTAGTCACCTGGATGAAGTACTTAGACAGCTGGATAGCTATGTCGAGGAGGGGGCACACAAGGCTGGGTCCCGGACGAAAGCCAAGGGACAACAAGCGGGCTTGAGTCGGGGGGATGAGCTCGTTAAATAAAGGGACGAGATCGCTACGAGATCGGAAATATCGTAAAGTGCCATGAAGATTCCGGCGATATGACCGATGTGTGACGAATCGAGAAATTCCCGAACGTACGACGAGCGGGAATCTTTATCGGGAATCGGATCGCCGATTTTGTCTGGTAAAAACAAGTTTTTTTTATTTGAATTTATCTAGATTGAGCGAATTCTCAGCGAACGACGTTGTTCATTTTGTGCACACTACGTACTCACATCCGTGCTCATCGTGCTCATCATCGAGCTCATCGTCGGGCTCGTTGACTGTTGGAACGTGTTTTTGGTGAGGCTAGATCCGAGATAGTCCACGTGTTTTGTATTGATTCTCCGCTTTTGTCAGTAAAAACGCAGGGAACGCCCTTCACCCCAGCTGCCTCCTCGTCTTCTCGTTCAAAGTTTCAATTGTCAACGACGTTTGTACGGCTGGCAACGGTTTTATATTTTGTTTTTTTTTCAGGTCAAATATTAGATCGGGTATCTGGTCTCAGATCGGAGATCTATGGCCTCGCCAGCTCGTCGTGCAAGACCTCAAGTAACAGCAGAAGTTCAAGTCAGACTACCACCAATAAAATCATTACAACTAGCACACACAACAACAGAACAAGATACCGTATACCCAACCCCACTAAGCGCTGCGTGGCCACCAAATCAGCAATTCGCTCGTACAACTCCCCTAGTACCAACAACACTAGATCCAACAGCCTATCCAACTCCAATCTCTGCACGTCCTCACAGAACTTCATATCAGCAATTTCAAAACTCTTCCTTCCACTACGTACCACCAACAACAGCAGAAAGTACAACAAGCACAACAAGTTCGACCAGAAATTTCATAGACGACAAGACTCTCCCATATGCTCACGACAGAACAACATCCTACCCCCGTTATCCACACCCACCACGTGACCCACAACAACCAGACGATCGAAGCGTGTACACTCCAGCAGAAGCACGCGCCACCTATAGCCCATATACACAAGACGCACGTCCTTATCCACAGGACCCGCGCTACACCCAAGACCATCCACGCCCACCCTATACCACAACTCCCGACCCTAGATACGACGCACGTGCAACCTACCCAGCACAAGATACGAGGACATACCCAGACCCCCGCTATCCGGATCCCCAGAGGGCCTATCCAGCTGATCAACGGGGCTATCAGACAAGCCCCGAAATCGAGAGGGCCTATCAGGATCCGCGCTATCCCCCTCAGGATGCTCGTCCAACTTATGACGCGCATGGCCGTCCCTATCCTCAAGAATCAAGGGCCTATCCACCTCCGCCGCAGCCAGGCCCACCGCAGCCCCAAACGCAGGACACGCGATATACCCCTACCCAAGAGGCCCGAAATACATACCCTCCACCCACGCCTTCCTATCCCCCAGCGCAGGATACCAGACCGTATGCACCGCCTCCCCCTGTAGAACGTACTTATTCGCAAACGGAGGTGAGAGGGTATCCGGGGGACAGGCAGCAGCAACAATTGGGTTATTCGCATGATGCACAACAAGGAAGGGTAGATCAACGTTCGTCCGTGCTAGAATCACAGCCACAATCCCAGCCACCTCACTCTCATTCACAACCTCAACCTTCACGCGAGCACCGCGGAACGACTTCCAACGATCGTAATTTAGGTGTGGTCGAGCCTCGTGCGGTGGAAGTCAGGCCTACTTTATTGCAGAGGCAGTCTGTGAGCGATGCGAGACCTGTGGCGGTGGAGACTAGGAGTGGGTTGGAGACGCAAGTGAGGGGTGTGGGCATGGAGACGCAGTCGAGGAGTGTGGGTATGGAGACACAGAGGCCACCGGCGTTCGAGTCACAGAGACCACCAGCATTCGAGTCGCAGGTCAGAGGAGCAGGGGTGGAGACGCAAAGCAGGCAGGCAGTGTTTGAGCCTCAGCCGAGGCAGACGAATTTAGAGACGCAGACACGACCACAAGTATTCGAGACGCAAGCGAGACCTCCGGCTTTCGAGTCTCAGCCAAGATCAACGTTTGAGCCTCAGAGGCAGACCATGATCGAGTCACAACCAAGATCGACGTTTGAGTCTCAATCAAGATCTACAGTTCTCGAGTCGCAAGTGAGACCTACGCCATTCGAGCCTCAGCCGAGATCTACAGTGCTCGAATCACAGCCAAGACCGCCGCCTATGATGCTGGAAGGTCCAGCAAGATCTACGGGCTTTATTTCGCAGTCTCAGTCACAGTCCCAGTCTCAAGGATCTCAAAGGGTTGCAGGAGGTGATAGGATGAACAAGGACGATGTCATTCGAGAGGTGAGTCTTATCTTTCCTTTGGTCTGTTTGTCTTGCGTTTGATCGTGGGGGATGAGTATAGACGCGATGCTGACGTTGGTTCTCTAGATCGTTCAGCATTGTACGGCGTTATATAAATTTGCAGATCATTATTGTGAGTTTCCCGTCTTGTCTCCTCTAATTCTTTTGTACCCTCCCCCACTCCAATCCCAACACTAACCCCCTCCACAGCCACCCTCCAATCCTCCAACCCACATCTCCAACCGCCCGCGGAAGAACTCGCAGAAATGACAGCCCGTGCAGGAGAAGTTGTCCGTCTTCTCGAAGCGCTCCGAAACGACATACCCATCTTCCCATCCTCCCTCCTCTCCGCATCTGCATTCACTTCCCCACCCGGACCCCACGCACTCGTCTCAGTGCACCCCCACGCTTTAGAAGCAGCCGTCAAAGGACACATAAATTCGAGCTCCAGTCTAGGAATGGGCATAATGGATATAGATGCGCCCGATCGGGCGCCGAAGCGGCCTTGGGAGGATGTAGAAGGTATGCTACCTCCTGGATCTGGGCCTGGTATCGCCCCGTCTTCATCGGCAGGGCATGTTCCTGTTCCTCTCGCGTCTCCATCGGGGTTAGGAACTGCGCAGATTCCTGGAACGGGTACGGGTTTGGGTGGGGCACAGGATCAAGACCGATCGATGGCTGAAGCAGATATGGAGCTCATAAGGACCAAGAGAGCGCTGACGACTATGGCTGCTGCTGCTGCGTTGGGTGGGAATGGGGGTGGAGGGACTGGAGGGAAGAATAAGTATCGGAAGCGGAGTGTGAGTCGTTTTATGTTTTTTGCTAGGACAGTATTCCGTGCTGACTGTGTGTGGTACGGTGGATAGCGCGCGACACCTCCTGGAAAATGCCATTCCTGCAATATTCGGGAGACGCCAGAGTGGAGACGTGGACCGGATGGTGCAAGGACGTTGTGTAATGCTTGTGGGTTGCGTATGTGACTTTTTCTTTTGTGGGATTGGTTGTTGATGGCTCTCTTTCGATATGTTTTTTTTGGCCATGTATATTCTAACCCGCCTTGGACCCACTTCAACAACCCATCCGCGCTCGCAGACTACGCGAAGCTCGTGCGTAAGCGCGAGAAAGCCCTTGCAAATGGCGAGACGCCATCAATCCAGCGCATCGATATGGAGATGCTACGTGCAAGTGCGCGAGCTGCTGATGCCGACAAGGGTGCGCGCGCTGCATTAGGAGGCGGATCTGCGGGTGGAGCCGTCATGAATTCAGTTAGTGGAAACGGACATGGCAGTGGCAGCGGAAGTGGGGGTGGGAATAGTAACGGCGGAGGAGACGACAAGATGAATTTAGGGATCCATCAAGGCTCGTTCCAGATCAACACGGACGCCGGCGATGCGATGCAGGATCAAGATCCTAATATGAATTCGCAATCGAGCGCAGGGGGGACGTATACGCGTCCTCCACGCCCTGCGCACTCGAAGCGTCCGTCGTCGACTCGGGTGATGCAGTCCCCTGGGGTTATGGGCGGGCAACATCCATCTGCGGGCGTTTCGCATCATCCTTCTGGGCAGACGCCGTCCATGTCTCATCATACGACACCATCTGTGCAGCACCACCAAGCGTCGTCTACGCACCACCAAACGCCGTCTGCTCACCATCAGACGCCATCTGCGCACCATCAGACGCCGTCTGCGCATCACCAAACGCCGTCTGTGCAACACCATCAAACGCCATCGATATCCCATCACACGACCCCTTCTGTGACTCATCAAAGTGGTAATTCGTCATCGGGATCTACATCGCGTCATCCACCTGCTGCATCCCATACGCCTGCAGCACCGCCTGCCTCTCAACAGAATCAAGGGCATCATCAGCCCACGGCGCAAGGACATCATCAATCTGGGTCGGCGCAAGGACACCATCAATCTACGACGCAGGGACATCACCAATCTACGGCGCAGGGGCATCATCAATCTGGGTCGGCGCAAGTACATCATCAATCTACGTCGGCGCAAGGACATCATCAAGCGTCTGTGCACCACCCTCCGTCTCGACTCGTGCCGCCGCCTACGCCGCCTTGGTACCTGCCCGCTGCCAATCAGTCACATTCGATGCTGAGGCAGTGATGTTTGAAGAGTTGATAATTTTAGGACTATCGTTACCCACAATAAGGAAGGGGTACGATGATAATGCATGGTTGGCTGCGAAGCTATACCTATTCGTGCTGGTTATGATGATATCACATTTTGGGTTATACCCATTGATGGTGATCTCACGAGGTTTGTACTGATCACATCGATTTTTCAATTTCCTTTGCATATCTCACCAAGTTGTTTTCCGTGTTGTTCTTTGTATTACGCATCGCACTGTGCATCTCTGACTTCTTTCAAGACTTTGCTTCGTTAATGTTCCAAATGTGCTCTTGTAATTCATTTTATCTTTTGCATCTTCCATCACCCCTGCACCACCTGTTTTGTTCTATATGTATATCACATATAATGATTTGGTTCAGTAATGAACTTGTAATTTTTTTCTTGGCTGTTGCCCAGATACGATGATTTTCTTTCTGATGATGATAGTTTTGTTTTGAACCGTAGTGCATAGTGTACCTATATATATCAAAGCAGTATTCCTACTTACGAAGTCAAGATCTGAGAAGACTTGGAAGCACTCGAGAATGAGATGGATCTAGATTGATCGGGGTGGAAGCTGAAGTAGAGAACATAAATCTCGATCGATTGAAGGGCGTCAACATGTCATTCTCGAAAACGTGGCATCTAATCGATCTTGGAGATCCTTATCGTTCTTTTATCAGATCTTGTCTGAATTTCGTGTGGCTGCTTGTTTGATCTTGAGCGTCACATCTGTGCGTGGATATCTTTAGGCACTGCGGTGTTCACTATCGAGACAGGAATCTGGACTGGCTCGGGTTGGAGAACTTGTCGGAAAAGTGATCTTGTTCTATCGGCTTCGATTAAGATATGGTCAGATGGTTTCCAAGGAGTCCAGACCTCGATGTTAAGCGCTAGCTGGCGGCGGCCTCATCCTTTTGAAAGAAGTCATACAGAAATATCCCCACGCGTTAGGTGGCGGCACTTGGTACAAATCATGTTCAACTTGAATGTAATCGAATCCTCGTTCATCGCCATCATCGATGATGTCATCATCATGCATCAACGAGTGTCCATCTGCATAAACTGGCCCTGGATCTAGTGCTGCATTCGGACTACTCGGGAATGTGGTGTGTATCTCGTGCCTGTTGTGTTATCGCTTCTCTGATGTTAGTTTTCAGATGCAGTGTCTGGCGGTGGCATGCCTCGTTGCACATTGTCAAGTCCAATGTAACCTCTGTACCTTGTAGTTTACGACGAGTTCTCCCTAACATCTTCGCAGTCCCATGCATGTACTAATGTCAACTTCCACACTTACCTATGCAGCGTCAATGCATTGTGAATGACACGTCACGACCGCGTCAAGCCTCTTTCATGCCATGTCAGATCTCAGATCTCAGTACTCCAACTGCCACGCCTACGCATTAATGTGTCGTGTCACTCCTGCCACATGCCGCATCAAACCTTACCCTACGCGTCAGTACTTCAACTGTCCGTCACAGCACAACCACAGAATCACTACTCAAGCTGCTCTGTTCAATAGGTCTCGAGTGTGGCCCTTTATTCAACGATATCTCTGATACCATATTTCCAGAGTTTGCAGACGAATCGTCGCTCCCTCGCTACAGGCCAGAGAAATTGCACCCATGAAACGTTGCCCTTCGCTGCTGGCTGAAGAATATGTGCCCATTAAACGTCGACATACTTCACAGAGGGTTCGGAGAGGGAGGCAAAAGAAAATAATCATTGGCCGATGTCAGTGTAGCTAGTAGGTATGTGTCCCTGCGATAAATAAAATAACAAAGGAACGGTCATGAACCCGTGCAACTTCATCCGAGACTGGGAGTCAAATTTCAAATGTAGAATATATTCTGGCGCGCGAGTGCTTCAGTGGCACGTCACATGCACGTCACGCCGGGTCACAACCAAAACAAATAGTACGCCCCTGACTCCTCTCAGCTCTCAGAGAACTCTGACTCGGACCAACAAGTACCCTTAGGCTCGCGGACATCATACGTCGCAACACATCGCGCCCTGTTAGCTTCAGCTGGGTATAGGTAACTGTGCATTCATTCCCATATGATTAATCATGTTGACGATGACTTCGAGCTCACAGTTGAAGCACGCCCTATCAGACCTGTCACTAGGACTACGAAGTATCTTCGTCAGAAGCTGACAGAGGAGAAGCTCGTCATAATGAACCTGCACGAGGAGCTTGTATTCGATCTGTGCCGCTTGCCAACCGAAGTCCTATGTTATATTTTTATCCACTGTCTTCCCCAAATCGAATACACGTCGCCCAACTCAAAAACACCTCCTATGTTGCTCACCAGAATATGCCGACGCTGGAGAGACGTTGCGACAGACATGCCCTCCTTGTGGTACAGACTGTCCATGGATATCGACCATGCTGATAGTATGAACTGGCGACAGGTAGTCTTCGGCTATGACTTGTGGCTCAAGCGCACACAAGGACGCCCCCTCTCCTTAGAAATTATGTGCAACGAAAATGACACCACCGACCTACGAAACATTTTGCAACCTTACATCTCTCAGATCTTCTCTCTCAACGTCACATTTGACATGGCCGTCGCACCCGAAATCTTGCTAAATGACCTCCCGGCACTTCAGGAGCTTGACGTCGCCATGCGATTTCATGATGCACTGTCATCTATTTTGACATCCATCTCGCGGCTCTTCACTCTGCGCAGTCTGAATTTTGGAACGTTGAATTGCCACAGCATTAAGTGCCTATCTCACCTCAACTTGATAAATATCGACCTCTCCACAATCTTTCCAACCAACATCATAAACGTACTCCAAACATTTCCCACCCTCTGCTCGTTAAAAATCCAGATACTCCTCTTCGAAGGCCTGCCATGCGAACCGTTCACCCACTCCACCATTCAATTACTCTCCATCCAAATCATTGTACGCAGCTGAGTCCTTCACCCAGAGCCATTGGTTCGCTTGTTCAATGCACTTACGCTTCCCAATTTGCGCGTGCTTCGTGTCGAAGGTGGATCCTGGCCTTGTGTTAAAGATTTAATTTCGCATTATAGGCATGTCGTCAAGTAGATAAACATCTGCCAGATGCTGTGCCTCCATGTTTGTCATGCCCACGCGAGTGTTGTTTTCTTTGTTCGAGTCTTGAAGTCCCCAATATCTGGTGTGTGAACATCATTGACCTTCTTGTGGACTTTCGCGACAAGATGTTTGGTGGGCTTTTGAGTTGTTGACCGCTTGGATTTTGACGTTGTGCAAAGTGGAAAAGCGCTACACTAGTGGTCAGTAATATATAATACCCTAAATTACAATATTGTACGGTAAACTGTTCAAACGAGGTGCGCGTTATGCGTGTTTGAAAGTCCGACTCATGTCGCCACTTGACCAGTCGAAATCCATCCCAAATCCACCAAAGATGATTTCATTTTTGAAACGCGGATTTCTTCTTGCACCTATGACCACCTATGACGACCTTCCAGACGGGATAAAGTGACTTTAGCGCCTGGATTTTATCCAGTCGATTGGGGAAATCTCAACGCATCTGGCCAGACTTATGCACAACCAAGTCGATGCATCCATGCGCATCCCACCATCTGTGCTCAAGTCACACAACAAAAAGGAGGATGCTTGTACAACGATCAATGGAAAGGTTTATAATATCACACCCTACCTCCACATCACCCGGGTGGCGAGAAGGAGCTCATCAGAGCATTGGGCGGAGATGGAACCAAGTTGCTTTGTGAGTACTCACATCTTCGTATGGGCTGCATCATTGAGCGGGACAATCTAGCCCTGACACACGCGTGGGTGGACGCGGACTTCATGCGCATGCTTGATTGGCATGCCTGGTCGGATTCCTAGTCTCAGAACCAAGCTCGTAATTGTTTGGACATCACGTTGGATATACTTGTTTAGCCTAGAACTGCATGCTCCTATCGATATTTATACCCGATCACTTGCTGTGCTGCAACGGGCGCCGCATAGGTGCTGTGGTGTACTTGACGCTCAAACCGGACCGCCACGAGATGGACATTTGAGGCGTGGCTGCTTGTATGTCCTTCTTTTGCTAAATTTAATACAAAGCCCTAACAGGTGACTGCAAGAGTTATCGTTATCGTGATATTAAGTGTCGCAACTTACTACAAGACTAAGGAATCTACTATTGCTTTGATCATCGCGATGGAAGCGTTGCCATACAGCCGCAGCCCCTCTAGAACTGGGTCGTCCGTCGAAGAATGCAGAAAGGCACCGATCGTCATAATGTGGCTCAAAATACCTACTTTGATTGTATCATATCCAAAATGGCAAGTGAGTGATGTGGTTGCGCAATAAGACCTTCTACTGGCACCACATTCCGCATTAAGTTTCCGGGAATGGTCGCCTGATCTTTTTGCTCTAGTATAAAGTAGGAGGAGTGCACGATGCAGAAGCTAACACCAGATTCTTCCCTTCTAAATCATTACAGCATGGCGCCGGTAGCTATCAGCGAGGAAAGCGGCAATGCAACTATCGGCAGCGTTGCAGAGTTGAAGAAAGCTCAAGCCAATAAGCCAACAAAGGAGACTCAATTATTCAATCCTTCATTCTCGCCCACTGTGGAGACCGAGAACGACGACTACCAATATGCCAAGTACAAGGTGAGCGACTTCGAATTTCAATCTCGCAGGCAAAGTCTGATGCTTCACCGAGCCCCAATTCCCTGTTGTGGAGTGGGAACCGCTCACAGAAATCGAGGTCACCGACCGCGGCCACTTTGCAGACCCAAGCAAGACAGCTCTCTTCAGTGCTGCACAGAAAGTGAAACACCTCACACCCGCCATTGGCACAGAACTCGTTGGTATTGACCTCCGCCAGCTAACGAATCAGCAAAAGGACGAACTGTAAGTACCGTATCCTCAACTGCATCTATATTTTAATGAGTTCATCATGCCAGTGCCCTTCTTGTTGCGGAGAGAGGCGTTGTTTGTGAGTGAACCTGAATATGTCACAAATATGTCTCCTGTGGATAACTAACACATTCCTGCGTAGTCTTCCGAGACCAGGAGCTCAGTATCCACGAGCAGCTCGACGTTGGTAGATACTTTGGACCCCTTCACAAGCATGCATCGACCCCCATCCCTCGAGAACCAGGACTTGAGGAGGTCCATGGTGAGTCGGATTGTTCAAAAAAACTGCGTGACTATTAATTTCATCGTTAAGTCGTTTACAATGACGCTGCACAACGTCCTGATGCTAGCGGGTTTTCGAAGATCGAGCTTTGGCACAGCGATGTGACATATGAGGTCCAACCACCAAGTACCACGTCTTTGAAGGTGATTACTGGTCCCGAGTATGGCGGTGACACGCTCTGGAGCTCTGGGTAAGTAGCAGAAGATGGCCGGTTGTGCAAAGAAGTTATTCTAATGATCATACACAGTTATGCTCTTTATTCCTCCCTCAGTCTAGGCATGCAGGTATACCTCGAGGGTCTCACAGCTCTGCACAGCGCTGTCGCGCAAGCGGATGGATATCGCGCAGCCGGCCTCCACGTCCGTCGCGAACCTGTCGAAAGCGTACACCCTGTCGTTCGTGTCCACCCAGTGACCGGCTGGAAGAGCGTTTATGTCAACCCTGGCTTTACTCTTCGCATACTCGGCGTCCCCAAACCCGAATCCGACACCATTCTCAATTTCTTGTTCCACCAGATCGCCGATAATGTTGACTTCCACGTGCGCTTCCACTGGGAGCCGAATTCAGTCGCGTTCTGGGATAACAGGGTCAGTGCTGTTTTTACTCGACGAAGAGCGCAGAGTTTGACCAGATACTAGATTGTGACTCACACCGCAACTTTCGATTTCTGGCCTCACACTCGCCACGCGCTCAGAGTTACGCCTCGTGGCGAGAAACCCGAGTCTGTTGAAGACTACGAGAGACGGACAGGCAAAGTGGCAAAGGATCGCCAGATTGAGATCTGGAAGGAGCAGGGAATCGAGATTCCACAGTCGAAGAAGGGTCTGTCTCGGGCACGCGGATATAATGACTGAGATATTAGTCTATGCTTTGATTGCAGAGTATGACAAAAGTTTAAGCCACTGTGGCTGCTAGACAGCGGGTGATCAGTCGCGCAGCAAAAGCCTTTGATCCAAACAACCCTGACAAATCGCTGCATAGAAACGTCGAGGCCCTGGCTGATAGCAGATTTTCCGTACTATTGCTAGTGAGTACTTTGATATACCCCTTTGCAATCAGTCTTTATTTAGGTTTGAGCATACCATCCACTGCGACAAAAGTCTGCGGAGTTACCGTCTCGACATACGCCCCCTTTGAAGTTGAACTCGAAAACTTGAGCACATAACGGGCGGTAGCCCTGCGCCGTCGAGTTCATTGCGTACTAGCCTAGCCTTGATCTCTGACAGGTGACCACACTCGAGGCTTGTCGATGTCGTGCTCATCGGCAACTCCAGGCCCAAGCAAAAGCTTTCCGAAACTGAAGCCCGTGGTTCCAACACACAACCCTCCTCCCTGATAACCGATTTGTCTGCTTGTCGTGTCTGATAATTTGCAGTCACCCGAAGGTGGGCCACTGCTTGTTGCCGGTCGTCGACACCCGGAGGACACTCGATCGGTTAGAACCACCAACTGAACCACTTATTTACTTCGTTCCAGTAGTGCTACAATAATAAATAGCTTTGCCCAGATCTTTCAAATATACTTCGAAACACGATATGTTAAATAAATACCACGACGGATCCTCCACTAAATTTGTCCTCCCTGCAGACCACTCGGCAAGCATTTCCCTACACAGTACTGCTAGTTGATACATGTACACGCTCCTGGAACACAATCGAATTCATACTAGTTTCTGTGTCGGAGTATGCAACGAGTTTGGCGTTGTATTCTCGAATGCTAAGGATGAGGCATGGTCCTAGCACAAACATCTGCACGACCGATAAAACTTGAAGAGCACCTGCGAGTATCAGAATTTCAATAGGATTTGAATTCTACAGAAATGATGAGCAGTGGTTGCACGCAGATATCAGCAACCGGTCGGCTCACCGAGATTGCTGGAGAGAGAAAAGCAAGCTGGAGGCAAGAGACATCAACAAAGCTAACATGTGCAGAACTTGAGCGGATAAATTCAACCACGTTCACATTACAAGCTCACCTTGCAAAATAAAGCACGTGAGATTGTATCAGCACTCTGAAACAGTCCCCGATGGTCAATCCTGTCGAAAGGCCGAGTCGTCGCATCCCACGGAAGTGTTTCACAGCAACCCAGACTGAAAGACACAGAGCGAGGACCTCCCAAACAGTGTTGAGCATCCAAACCATCGAAAACAGAAGCTGCTCGTTCCCATCATTTCCATAACCGCACATATATATGCCAGAGAGTATGAACTCCTCTGGTGTTTGCCCAATGACCCGTGTTTTTCAAGTCAACAAGGGAAAGCTTACCTGCTACAGTATCGTTGAGTGCCATTGCCGACATTACCCCGCAGGTGATGTTTACAGCCAGGAAGATAATAACAAGGATCATAAGCATCGTTCTAGATCCCTTATACATGGCATGCAACCGAGCAATCATGACCACTTGCATCGTGTGTTAGTCAGGCCAATATTCCAGAGGTATTGCACCTAGGTGACTTACCGCCCAACATGGCAGTCAAGGCCGTATTTATCCAACTTACTGCGGAGTACGTGATAGTGCCTAAAGCTCCCAATTAATGAACGCCCTCGCACTAGTATCAAAGACTCCGACTTACACCTAGTATTGAGTCATTATGTTGAATCAAGTTCAATGCTTGGATTTTCACTCGCCCCTACATACGAGCGTATTGATTGGATGGGAATGAGATGGCTGCAGAATACTTACTGCATCTGTCAGCGATACCGATGGCATAGTTTCTGTGTGCTGCCGGTCAGAGCAATGGCACACAGCGCATATGATATGAGACATACTCAGAACATTGACACTAGTTATCAGAGATGAGCTGTTAGCACAATGCAAAGTTGTTGATCTCGACACATACACAGAATACAGTATTCCCATATAGCGTATCTAGAACATTTTGGAGTCAGCACAAGTCGCCCACCACGCTAAAGCACAACAAGAGGTACGAACAGTCAAATACAGCACAGTCATGAGAGACCAGCGTTGTCTCTGTCGCAAATTCAGTGAATTCTCTTGTTTTCTTCTGATATGGGATCCTTGTGACCCACCCAGATGAGTTCAATCTAAGACATCATTCTTAGTGAGATAGCTGCTCCGGCGATAACATCGACGTACCTCTTGTCCGAGTGT